GTAAATCCATTTAAAAGTGTCTAAAAAGATAAAACAACTTTGGTTATACACTTTTCACTTTTATAGTGTGGTGTCATGATTTTATTAGGTAAAGATATTCAGAATATAAAATAACATGATAATAAAAAGTCTGCTGCCAGACTGACTACATTTTAACTCTGATTTTGTTAATTATTAGCCATGTGACTTTAGGCGAGTTACTTAGCTTCTTAGTGTCTCAGTTTCCTCCAATGTAAAATGGGATCATAATCATCCTATTTAAGAGGATTGTTGTAATTTATGCAAAATGCTTAGAGTAGTGCCTGGCACAACATAAGCATGACAAATGTATTTGTTATTATTACTTATAAAAATTGGGGGTTTTTTGTTTTGGTTTGTGTTTTTTTTTTTTAATATATTTTATTGATTTTTTACAGAGAGGCAGGGAGAAGAATAGAGAGTTAGAAACATTGATGAGAGAGAAACATCGATCAGCTGCCTCCTGCACACCTCTTACTGGGGATGTGCACGCAATCAAGATACATGCCCTTGACTGGAATCGAACCTGGGACCTTTCAGTCCACAGGCCGATGCTCTATCCACTGAGCCAAACCGGTTAGGGCTACAATCTTTATATATAATCATTTTTTGCAAGTGTCAGAAGTTTATTTTTATTTTTATTAAATTTATTGGGGTGACACTGGTTAACAGAAGTATACAGGTTTCAGATACACAATTCTATAACTCATCATCTGTACACTGTATTGTGTGTTCATCAGCCTAAGTCAAGTCTCATCCATCAACATTGATGTCCCCTATCCCCTCTTCCAGCACCCTCCCCACGTGCCAAAAGTTTATGTTCCTTTCAAAGGGCGAAGTATACCTCATTTGTTGAAACTTAAGAGACTTCATAGAAATACTTTAGTATTTTACTTGGAGTCTCTCAGCCCTTTCCATGAGTTTCTCTGATTAAAAGAAGTAACATTTCTGCCCTGGATGGCGTGGCTCGATTGATTTGGTGCATCATCCTGTGCACCAAAGGGTCGTCAGTTCAATTCCCAGACAGGGCACATGTCCAGGTTGTAGACTTGATGCTAGGTCAGGATATATGCAGGAGGCAGCCAATTGAGGGAATGTTTCTCCCATCAATGCTTCTCTCTCTCTCTCTTCCTCTCTCTCTCTCTCTCATCTTTCTCTTTCTCTGTCTTTATCTCACCCTCCCTCCTTGTCCCTTCCTCTCTCTCTAAGATCAATAAAAAATAGTAACATTTCTATAGGATATCTCTAAAATAATACTAATTTGGAAATCTTAATTGTATTCTCTATAGCTCAAAGCTATTTATCACTATCTTCTATGAAATTTTTTTCTAGAATGCTTCAAAAGTACAGTATTTGGTTTCATACATTTAGTTATACTCAGTCTAAGATCTAATTCGTGTAAATAAAGATTCATTTCTCTGGAGAGAAATCAGCAGTGGCATACTTTGGCCCATAAAACAATTGAGAGAAACCATCATTTTAGGGTATTTTTGTTTATTTCTATTCTTAAATGATTGCAGTTATATTTTTTTCATTTTTGTGTTAATCCTCACCTGCGGATATGTTTTCTATTGATTTTTAGAGAGTGTGGGAAGGAGGGAGGGAGAGGGAGAGAAACATCAATATGAAAGAGACACTTTGATTGGTTGCCTCCCACATGAGCCATGACTGCCAGGGATCAAAACTGTAACCCAGGTACATGCCCTTGACTATGAATTGACCCTTAGACCCTTCGGTGCAGGCGCCCACACTCTAACTGCTGACCACACGGGCCAGGGCTGGAGTTAGATTTCTGCAACCACCTCCAATGGGCAATTTTACTCTAGGTGGGAAGAAGTTTTCAGTTTGTTGATAATCAGCAAACAATGGGATTGTCTCTGTTGAATATCACTAGTGCTTCTAATTATTTTTAGAAGCCACAAGCTGTGACTGACCAGTGAGAGTAGAGCTACTTAGAACAACTTTGCTTTAGTGTCAACAAGTCTCCAGTTACCCCACTTTAATGAGTGTTTTATTAGACTGTTTCTGGAGCCTGGATCATCTATAAATAAGCAGAGCTAGCCCGGCCAGCGTGGCTCAGCGTTTGAGCATCGACTTATGAACCAGGATTCCAGTTGGCACATGCCTGAGTTGTGGGCTCAGTCCCCAGTGAGGGTGGGCATACAGGAGGCAGCTGATCGATGATTCTCTCTCATCATTGATGTTCCTTTCTATCTCTCCCTCCTCTCTGAAATCAGTAAAAATATATTTTTAAATAAATAAGCAGAGCTATCAGTAAATGATGTTTCTCTATTGTTTTTGTTTTATATATACATATATAGAGATTTTTTTTAAATGTATCTTTATTGTTGAAAATATTACCGGTGCCCCACTTTTTTTCCCCATTGACCCTCTCCACCTGGCACCCACCCCTCCCAGGCCTTCACTACACTATTGTCTGTGTCCATGCGTTTAAGTTTTCCAGTTAATCTCTCCCCACTCTCCTACCCCCACCCTCTGACTTCCCTCTGAGATTCATCAGTCTGTTCCATGTTTCTATGTCTCTGGATCTGTTTTGTCCATCAGTTTATTTTTTTCATTAGATTCTACATATGAGTGAGGTCATGTGATACGTATCTTTCTCTGATTGGTTTATTTAGCTTAGCATAATATTTCCTTATTGAGAAGTCAGTAAAGAAAAGTAAATAGCCAAAACCGGTTTGGCTCAGTGGATAGAGCGTCGGCCTGCGGACTGAAGGGTCCCAGGTTCGATTCCGGTCAAGGGCATGTACCTCGGTTGCGGGCACATCCCCAGTAGGAGATGTGTGGAAGGCAGCTGATGGATGTTTCTCTCTCATCGATGTTTCTAACTCTGTATCTCTCTCCCTCCCTCTCTGTAAAAAAAAAATCAATAAAATTTTAAAAAAGAAAAGAAAAGTAAATACAGAATAGAGATATTTGCTTCTGAATAAGTTGATTTTTGAAAGTGTTTTTTTAAAAGTAATGTATTTCTATATTTAGGGATTAAAGTGCCAATTAGGGGGGAAAGAAGCATGTTATAACTTAGGGTATGTAGGCTATTACTTCATTAGGTTACCGTTGCCAGAGTCAGCAGGTCTTGGGGTTTCTGCCCATCCATTCTACTGAGGCTGCTTCCGTTCTCTTTCCCCCTACAAATCCAACGTCTTACACCCAGAGCTTCTACATTTTTAGAGGGAAGAGGGGCTAAATATATCTTACATGCTTCTCCTTCCCTTCCTTCATTTAAATTATGACTAAAATCAACTCTTCAACAACTTCACCTTATGCTTCATGAAGTGAAATGCTTTTAATAAATATGCTACCTGTTTTGATTTGGCTTTTTTCCCCCCCTCGAAGGGCTGCAAACATGTAACTACCTTCATCTGAGGGTTGTGTTTGGCAAAGAGAGGACCTCAAACTGATAGTTTGGGGACTTGAGATGGCTCAGAGATTATCGGCAGGTGTGGGCTGTATAAGCTGTCTCCATTACTTGAAATAGTTGTCAGCTAAATGCCTTAGTTCTGGCTTATTCTTGCCTGGCAGTTCTGAGACCCCACTTGGGAATTATTCCTCTCTTTACCTACTCTTCCAAAAAAACACTAAAGCTTTTGGAATCAATTTACAAAAATAGGAACACTATCTTGCTGGTATTTTCTATTTCTTGATAAAAGAGAAGGCAAAAAAGTATATCCCAATACTGAAATTTAATCATTTACCTAAAAATCTTGGACAATTTTCACAGACATTATTTTTTCCATTTTAAAGTAATTTTATCTGAAGAACTGAGTAAAAACACAAAAAAACATTTAAACACTTTCTTCCTTCGTTCCAAATATAGAAAGATTTTCATGGGAATATAGGCAGAGCTGAAGTGATCATTTGAGAAACGTTTAACTGATAATTTCTCTAAAATTAGTCTATAGCAAATATATTCTTGATTTTGTTTTCTGGTATCATTTGACCTTTAAGTACCTTCAAGTTATTTGCTTTTAGTAGAAATTTTTGTCATACAGTGTTTCTAAAATTTCACATATCATTTAAAAAAAATACTGTATTTGTTTTTTTATTTGTTTTTAGAGACAGAGAGAGAGAGAGGAAGGGAGTGGGGAGGAGAGAGAGATAAACATTGTTGTGAGAGTGGAACTTTGATCATCCATCGATTGTCTCCTGCACAACCCCACCGGGGATGGGATCAAGCCCACAACCTGGGCATGTGCCCAGACCGAGTATCATACTGGCAACCTTTTGGTGCATGGGACAATGTCCAACCAACTGAGCCACACTGGCCAGGGCTCACCTATCATTTTTAAATTATCTTAAGGTCAATTCAAGGTGTCATCGAGGTTACATTGTCCCCAAACCAGCAGGTAGTCTCACAGTGAGTTGTGTGGCCACTTGTAGTTTTGCCACTTCTAGGAGTGGGCACTACCTGCGGTTGTGTCCTGGAATAACATCGGGAATATCTCCCTTTTGTGGTGGAGCTCCTACTGCCATGTAGGGCCGTATCCATTAGGGAAATGGAAATAGTAGAAGATCCAGAGAAAGCATTTATCACATTGGCCCTGAGTCCAATGATCAGGCTTGTGGAAGGAGGCTTCCTTGTCACTTTGACCATCTCTTAGGAGCGCGGATGTTGAACCGGTACATTGCTCCAGGAGGAGTACTCAGTTCCATAGAGCATTCTGAGTCATTTTTAAAAATTGGGAGTCCGCCCTGTCGGTGACTCAGGTGGTTGGAGTGTCATCCTGGACACCAGAAGGTGTCAGTTTCGATACCCAGTCAGGACACATACCCAGGTTTCGGATTCAGTGGCAACCGAACAATATTTCTCTCTCTCTAGCTCTCCTTCTTCTCCTAAAAGAAATCAATTAAAAATAAAGAGAAAAAACTTTCTTTAAAAAAAAATTGGGAATCCTTTTGCCAAATTGGACAATATTGAGTGCAAGTTGAAAATTTGTATTTTCTCACATCTTTATGCCTAGATGATGGACCAGCCGGACTATGCGCCAAATGAAGAAAACCCTGTGGCTGCTGGTGAACAGATTATCCAACAGTAATATTATGTGGACCTGCCATAATGTTTCAGTTGATTTTCTGCAAAGGAGTTTTGCTTTTTGAACTGACAATCTGAAAGAATCTTCAATGATATGCTTGCAAATATACATTTTTAAGAGCTGGTACTGTCGATTATGTCCTAAGTAATTAAAATACATTTGCTTTTAACTATGTTAAAGTTGTGCCTTCACATTAAATAAAAGGATATGGTCTGTATCACTTTCAAAATGTATTATATACAGTATATTTTTCTAAAAAAAGTCTTGATCCAGCCCTGTATTTTTCTTACTGAAATCTATTTCTTTTCAACTCTAATGATAGGTAAAAGTATTTCTGCCCAAGTGAGTTCCTGAACAGATTTTACTGAAAAGAATTATGAAAATTTTATGCTCCACAGAAATTTGGTAAAGATCATGCAAGAAGGAAGTTCCATAATGAAATTCCAGAAACTGCAGAAGTTAAAAAAATATAATCTGAGAATATTTGTATAGCATAAGTTTTTAAAAAAAAAAATACCATTCCTTTTTTAAACTTGAGAACCTGAATTGCTTCAAATTGCTATGTTTTGTATTATAATATTTTTCCCAGTATAGGGAAACATAATATATAGAACTAGTCATTAAAAGGATACAAAAACTGGCATCCACAGTTTTGAGTGGTCTGCTATTTCCTTGAAGGTATAGCTTAAATTTGTACAGTAACACTCAGTTTCACTATGGTATTTCTGATCTCTGAAGTTTGGTTCTGTTGATGTTCAGGCTTAGTATTTTGTATAAAATTACGTATTAATACCTATGGCTCACCATTTGAGTGTAATATCCCTAACCATTCCCCCCTACCTCCCCCCCGCCCCCACCCGCGCCACTATCATAATTCCTACTCCTTTCTCCAAAGGAAACCACAGCTAACCTTTTATATTTTGGTGGAGGATGGTATACTAATATACCAGATGTGCTTCAGAACAAAGAATTAGAGACGAAAGGAGACTGGGTGTTAGGGTCAATTTAATTGCATTACAGAAGTGTAAGTAAATTGTCTTAGTGCAAGACATTAATGTCTCAGTTTTCTCATCTGCAAAATGAGTAGGTTAAACCAGTAATTTTCAACCTTTTTCATCTCATGGCACACATAAACTAATTACTAAAATTCTGCAGCACACCAAAAAAAAAAAATTTGCCAATCTGACAAAAAAATAGGTATAATTTTGATTCATTCACACTGGACAGCTATTGTGTCGGCTGTTATCATTTATTTATTTGACAATCTAAGGGAAAAGAGGTCAGTGCCCCTGACTAAATAGTCAATATTACATGTTTTAAAAATTCTTGCAGCACACCAGTGTGCAGCACAGTGGTTGAAAATTGCTGGGTTAGACCAATTAACCACTCTAGTACCTTACAACTTGGAAAAAAAACTCTCATTCTTTGCTTTGCTTGTGACCTTGAACATTCTCCTGGAAGTCAGAGGTCATATTATCTTTCCTTTTTTTTTCTCTCTAAGAAATTTCCAAATGACAAGTAATTCCAAAGGCAGTGGAATTTTGCATTCTCTAGAAGTAATATACAAGATATATGAGCCACTCTATGCTCTCTCATTCTAAGGCCAGTTCAGCTGGTTAAAATATAAATATAATGCCTTTTAAAATGGATGAGAGCTTTGGTATTTGAACTAAATTTAGCATTTGAGGGAATTCGATGCTTCTGTTTGTTAACTTTTGCTGAGTAAATAGTAGATAAGAGAAGCTCCCCTGACAGCCCTCTGTCCATTTAATACACTTAGGGATCCTTCGGTAAATGACAAGTAAGTATCTGACCAGTAAGGGTTATTCTTCATTCTGTCTCCATAATATATCAATTTTGAATTTTTTCCAAAGAATCTAATTTATTTGGCAGATGCTGATAGAACAGGTGAAGCCATTTTAAAGGTCCAACTATATTTTCATTTTTAAGATCAATAAAATGTTTGCCAAAAACATCTTTTTTAGTAAAATTATCTGCATTCTCATCCCAGCTTTTTGATATTCAAAAGCCTCAATCACATTTTATGAAAAATGTTAAAGAATTTTTAAATCTATAAATACGAAATTTTAGTTCTTTGATACACATTCTACTGTATCCAACCATTAACTATCAAGGAGGTAAAATTTTGTTCTGGTTTGCTATTAAAATCTTACTGATTAAATAAAAATAAGAAGGAAACAGGGAAATTCCTTAAGTTTCTCCATCCTCAGTGTCAGCTTCACATTATACTTAAATAATTCTACCAACCCCGCTGAAAATATTTAAAGAAATTACAATAAAGTACAAAAATATTTTATTTTAGGAATCAAAGTAAACAAAGGGTAGGGGAGATGAGAATTTGTCTTTAAAAGGCTCTATTATTTCTTCCTCTCTTGCCTTCCCATCACCAGTTACTTTGAGGAGACGATACGTTGTTTTTTTTCCTAAATATGTCTTAAAAACAATATTATATCCTATATTATTACTTATTGAAAAAATTGTTACTCCCTAGATATTCTCTGAACATTTTTGCAGCTTATCAAACATTAATCACTAAATATCTCAAATTGTAATGAGTTTTTCAGTTTACTTCAGCAAAGATAATTCGGTTTGTGAGGAAAACCTTGCTATTTCTAATACATTATATTCCAGCTTGTATTTTCTTTTTAGATTAGCAATACCTTATTAGTAAAATCCACAATTTATTTCTTTTTAGAGAGAAGAAAATATTAACCCATCTGCAGTTGGCATTCGTAGATTTTAGTTAAATGTCCATAGAGATTGTGTTAAAATGATACATTTATATTAAATACAAATGAGCTTCCTAGTTTTCTTTTGCTCTTTCAATTTTTTCCTTAGGTATAAGCAGACATTTTTACATTTGACTAAAAAAGTATTTAAACTAATTTATTTAAGCTTGATCTCTAAAATTTTAGCCTGATCTCAACCAATGAGATTTCAAAAACATAGGAATTGCATTTCAGACTGGTGCAATGTACTAGTTTGAAAGGCTTTGTATTTTTCTATTAACAAGAAAAAGAGTTGAATTTACTCAAGATGATATCAAATAACAAATTCTACAGTTTAAAATTTTTATTTTCAGTTATATTTTTCCCTCAGAAGTTAATTCTAGACAGGTTGGGGTAAGAAATGTAAATAAAGTCAAAGTACCGAATATAAATGACTTTATGCTTCCTGAAAGAAAGATATTCTGTAAATTCAAAAGATCTGAATCAAATAACAGTGGGGCCTTGACTTACGAGTGTCCGACTAACGAGTTTTTTGAGATACCAGCTGTCTCTCCTCTGATTTTTTACATTGAGTTGATAGAGTAATTTGAGTTAACGAGCTCGGTCTCCGAACGAATTAAACTTGTAAGTCAAGGCCCCACTGTACTGAACTTTTTAGAATTTGAAAGAAATTGTGTAATACTCATGATTTGGATTACTGAGTTTCAGAGTAAACAAAATGAGATTGATAGAGTAATATACAGGCCATTTTATAGTGAAGGCCATATATGTGAACTTCCTTGTTTAATATTTCTGTACTTCAGAACAGCCTTTGTGTCTATGAAAATGATCATGGAGGAAAATGATTTCTTAAAACTAAAATTTTAGAATAGTCCTGTAATAATGGCAATTTAGTGGAAACTGAAAGAAAACTGTAGAATACTTAATGTCATATGTTTCTTTAATTGGGCATAAAGTGTTGTAAACAACATTCTTTTGGAATATGGATTTTAAAAAATATCCAAAGTTTATCTGGTTAGATTGCAGGACTTCCCAGCAGAACAAGTCAATGTAAATTTTGTAGTTGTTGCCTATTTTATACCTTCCGTTGTATTTTGTTTAAATGAGAACCTTTTTAAAAATATATGATTGAATTTTTACTTCTTAGATTATTGGTTTTAGTGTGGAATTCTTTTTTTAAACACTTTGATATGTAAGTTAGTGTAAATTAATACTTTATAACACTATTAGGCTTTATTTTTTTATGGAACATGATTTAAAAATTTTGAAGTGTTAATTTAGCAGTACTTTAAAACTCTTCATTATGTGCCAATACTGACAAGAAAACTTTTTTTAATGTATTGAATTCACTATGACATGCAATAAATTCTATTTTAAAATAAAATTTGAATTTGTTTACTTTGGTGGAAAATGATTGAAAAATGAACTAGATCACGTTCACATAGTATACAAATGGTAATAATCATGTATAAAATTGTGTGATTATTTAAGTCTGACAAATTGTCCATAAAACCTTGATTCCATAAGTGTCATACTGGAAATTTATATTGATACCTAGTAGCCATTAATAAATATTTATTGACCCTAGCTGGTTTGGCTCAGTGGAAGGGTCCCGGGTTCGATTCTGGTCAAGGGTACATGCCTAGGTTGTGGGCTCGATCCCCAGTAGGGGGCGTGCAGGAGGCAGCTTATCGTTGATATTTCTATCTCACCCTCTCCCTTCTCTGAAATCAATAAAAATAATTTTTAAAAAAATAATAAAAATAAATAAATATTTATTGAATTAGTTATAGACTTTTTTAAACCGAGAAATGATCGTACTTCTTGTGATAAATATTCATGGAATTTTTAGCTTTGCTAAAATCGTTCCCACAAATTACTAAGATCCTACTGCCATCCTGCTTTTTGACTCGGATATGGTTAGCCCAGATATGTTTCTGTAGAGTGCTTGTGTTTGGCTTGACCACATATTGAGGAAGTCCTGCCTCCGCCTCGCCCCCCACCCCCTGCTGCAGAGAAGCCTTGTTTCATCCCACAGGCCCATGTATCTGGAAAGAAGCATAAGAAACTGGGAAGAGTGGCTGTGTCTAAGAAGAGAGGCGGCACAATGGCCAGGGCACAGGGATAAGAGGGAAACGTATTTTTTTTTACTGTATAATATGCTTCTATTAAGATTCAAAGTTTAAATTATAAAAATCTATTGAATTACTAGTATTTTCCTTGTTATAGGTATCCATACTAACAGATGGTTAAATATTAAATTATTTGTATCGTTTTTCTTCCCACCTCCTGGAGTCATGTGGTTGGGGAAAGTGTGGAGAGTCTCGGGATGCTGTGTGCACTCACTCCAACGTCATCTTCACTGCATTACACATGCGTGCCCTCAATTGTAACTGGTGGCCTCCAGGCCACTATTTTACTCTCTTCAGAGAACAAACCTCCAGTTTTCGGGCAGAGTCAGGGAGGGACATTTGCCCAGCTAC